AACCTGTACGGCGCACACTGGGGCCAACCCGGGCAAAAATGTTCGAAACCGGCTACAGCCTTCAATTACTGATTTCCAATTTTTTTTAACGTAATCTTAAGAAGATTCATAAGTATCGCTCGGAGCCCGATTTTTAATTATGGTGTTCAATTTTTTTTAACATAACCTAAAATGTGTAAAAATCATGATTTTTTTTTAAAAGCAGTAGGTTATTTACATTTTCAAAATCTAATAAAATATAACATCTTAGCGACATTATTCATTGCATAAGCTAAGCATTAGCACATTTCAAATTATTTTCGATACATTTTGAGGTTATGTTACACAAAAAAAAGTTTAGAGATACTTACATGTAATATAGCGTCCTTGAATGAAAATTGACAAACCTTTTGGGTTCGGTATCTAAACAACTGATCTCTGAAAGCTAAAAAAAATGTTTAATATTTTCTCCCTTGTACGTTGTATACATATGTTCATGTAGGTGTACTGCAACACACACAGTCTCGTGTCGGTCGGGGACTCTCGGTCGAGATGTAAAAACACTAGAGCAAAAGCCCTTACCACACGAACTCACTCAAAAATATATTAAACTAACTGACTAAAGAATTTCCAGAATCCGTTCAGTAGTTTTAAAGACTACTCCCTAAACACAAACAAATTTTACCTCTTTATAAAAAAGTAATCAAATAATAATAATTCCTTTCATTACAAAAAAAAATATTTAAAAAAAATCCCACTTCCATTTGAATGCATTACATAGGATACCATAAGTGGTATGTTTTTATGTGCTTGCCAACAGATGTACTTTTTTATTAAGTTAAAGAACTTATTTTTTGGTTATATTTTACAAAATAATAGTCATTTAAAGTCGGTAAACAAGATTTAAAATTTTAATAAAAGATTATGAAAAAAGTCTTAGACCCCAAAGATTTCAGCTGTGTTATAATTAAATAGGGTAATATAATAAATGGTTTTATTTTTAACACTACGTTTAAACTTTGCTAGTAACAGCGATGTTAATTTCTAATTTCGTTTCTAATTCAATGCTACGGCGTAGATGAGTCTACGCGAGCTACGAAAGCTCTACGCTTGATAACAACTGCTCGCTTACCTTGGAGTCCTACTTTTAAAAATATTTCTCTGACTCTTTCTTTATATTTTACTCTCTGTTAATACATATTAAATAAATCTAAAATACTCCACAAATCAAGTTCAGCAAACACTTTCTTGTGATAAGAACCGAATGATAATATAATTTCCAACGACAACTTTTACTCCGAATTAAGCGATTTAATTCTAAAATTTATTCGCCTTTATCTCGACAGGTGTGACCCTCTAACCTTGCCAAACTAAAGTGCACCTTGTCAAAACCGACACGCCATTATTAAGCATACATTTTTAAGCTCGCGATAACACTATCGTATTCGGCTGGGTTACGTGGTAGGCCGGGCCACGTTATCGTCAGTTTCTGCATGAACGCGCCCGTTACGGTCCCCCCTTTCACCCCTCCCCAACCCTCGTGAGGCTCCCTTTCGCCTCCTACCAAACCGGTAGACGGCAACTGCGAGGTTTTGACACTTGAACATAATTTATTCGATCCTGAAATAGTTGATCTAGACCAGAGCTATCTCGCAGGATTTAAGTGTCTGCTAACTTTTGGAGTACTGTTTGTTTGTTAATTTAACAGTTAAATGAAAACATTATGTTATAATGTCTCATTCGTCCCTTAAAAGACTTGTACATTGATTTACAGGCGATCTTAAGATCCTAGGTTCAATTATATAAGGAGATCTTCAGGGAAGAAAAGTAAGAAAATGATTGAATTCTGGATTACTAATGAACTTGAACTCGAATGATTTAACTCCTTTATTGTGCTCTATTTGATCTAATTACTGCTTATTTAACTATTTGATTAACATACACAAAAGGCTACCCTATTATCGTAGCCTTTTTTGGGTATTGTTTGACAAACAGAATAAGGCGTTCGTTTTGTATTTTCTAAGAATATCTTTTGCTAAGTACTAAGAGTTCTAAGACATGCGAGCAATTTGTTGAGAGTTTCTGGTACACAATCATTACCTTAGAAATCCTACTGCAGTACATTATTACCATCGAAAATATTAAAGTATCTGTTTACTGCCTGTCCATCTCTTGGTATGTTAAACTAATTCAGATCGTCTTGTGCCGTAGTAGTATTTCTATGTAGTAGCGTATACGACTGCTGTGCTGAGGTCTCGAGTTCGATTCCCGGGTCGAACCAAATGTTTGTATGAACTGCAAATATTTGTTTCGGAGTTTGGGGTGTTTTCTATGTATAATATCTATGTATTTACGAAAATAAACGTATTACCATGTCTGTACGATAAACAGTGTAGCGGTGTACAACATAGATGTATAAATGAATAAATATTCTTTCTTTTTTATATATATATAAATATATATATATATATATTTTATATTACTATTATATCAGTCAATCTAGCTTTCATAGTACAAGCTTTGCTTGATTTAAAACTAAATGGCGTGTGTGTTAGATGTCCAAAAATATTATTATTATACATACTGATAGTAAGTAGTTTTCAAGGCGGGTTGGTTTATATTTTAACACATAAATCATATACAATTTACACACAGTCTTCAGCTTATCTACAAAAATGTCAACGGTCAAAGTGTGTGTGTGTTTTAGTGAAAAGTATTCTAGAAAAGGAAAAAAGTTTTTGTCTATGAATAAAACCTTCAATCTTGTTTGGTATTGTAGCTCTTAAACGAATGGACTGATTATGATGCATATATTTATAAAAATAATTACACATTTCCGCACCACCCTTAAGTCCGCCATTACAACTTTTATTTGTGCACAAAGAATAAATAAGTTTCATCTTAACTTTACATAAAGTTTAATCTCAATGTGACAAATCTTATTATAGATAATTTTGGACAAGATAGTTCAAAGCGTACAAGGATAATAAAGCAAGTTTGGGCTATGTTAGGAACTTAACCAATTTTAGGTCTGTCAAACTATAACAGGTCCTATGACTTTAGAATACCAAACCTCATTCGACAGGGTTTGATCCTGTCAAATGTAATTCTGAAGTCGTCTTAGAAATTTAAACCTACTTGAGACAACTTTGTAACAAGAGAATGGGCAACAATAATAACTTGGAAAAAAATCTTTCATCCATAACAACCAACACTGTAAAAATTAAAACGGTGCAGGTTTGAGGTAACTCCTTGAGAAGTTCTCGTAATTAATAAGTGATTTTTTACTCTTGGTAATCTACATCTGGATTTGAACATTACATTCTTAACAATCAATTAATAAATTTAAATTGATATGAAAATAAATAGTTTTTCTTTTAGAAAAATACACTACTATACACTCATGTTAGGTACATAGAGAAACAACTTATAGAGAAACATTATCGAAATAAAGAACTTTTACAATCCTTTTCTTTAGACTTCAGTGGAAAACCGCTATTTATCGGTGCTAGACTTATTCCTTACTTACAAGTATAAAACTTACACACTCTTCAATACCTTCACTTTTAATTAACATACATTTTGCATTATTTGTCTACACTACTTACTTCGTGGATTACAGGAATACAATAAAAATTTGTCTTAATAATTTCACCGTGAAATATAATAATATCAAAAAAATATTTAAAAAAAACGTGAGAACCTTATTGTAGTCGTAAATAATATACTACGCATTTCCGTCCCTTTCCACAAAATCGAACCCAAAGGTTGCAAGAAAACGAGAGAATAAATGTTACATGTTCAAAAGATATTTAATTCTGTTATCAATAAGTTTCAGTCGCAGTAGAAAAGTCGCGGGCGTTCCTTATTGATAACAAAGCGGTCGCACCATAAGACAAAGATAGCGTTCTGATTATCTATTGATTGATATTATATTTTCGTGGTTTGGACGAGAGGAGATAACGATTAATTCGCAGTCGACAAATGATTTTTTAACTGTGCACAAACGAACAAAACGACAAACTGGCCCAATTAATATTTATAATTAATAAAATCAAATGTTTCAACTTATCAACATTTATATCGTAAAGAAAAAAATTTAGATATGTAGTTTTGATGAAAAAATAATTTTAAATAGTTATATTGAAAAATGTAAATATCCATTATATATCTTACTTATACCATACACATGATAGTGAGGATGGGTGTGACCCTTCTACGATACAATTTGACACACAGATAGTTTATGGGCACCGCGGGCGAAGTGGGCAGAGGTTAGCTGATAGAGCCGCATTCCTCAAAAAGGAAAAGAAACTGTTACAGGCTCATATAGTTGTCATTCTGCGGGTTTGTCAAGATATGTTCCTCAGAGAACTCGTAAAGGTATCAAGTTAAAATTACTGTCAAAGAGTTGTAAAAAGTCAAGCTTCAAAATCCAACCCCAAAAAATTGTTTATGCATAATTTCTTGTTAATCATTTGAGTTGTTAAAGCGTAACAAAGAAACAAAATTACGTTTTACTTTTTTAAAGAAACATAAACAGGGTTAACAAGTAGATTTATTATCTTCTAGAAACCTAACAACCCAAACACTCAACATCTTGCTACAAAATCTCAAACAAACAATCTTTCAAATTGCAACTTTTCATCGGTCCTTTATAATTGAATCCCCCGCGTCTAAGCCTCTGATAAGACGAATTTACGACTAAGCACCGAGAGACCGCGATTAAAATCACAAGTCGAATAAATCCACGCTATCGGCGTTGTTTCCCGAAGTAAACGTGTTCACTTCGCGGTCCCAACTTCGCCGATAGAGGCAACGCTTGAAGGAGGAGAACTTGGAAACTTATAATTCCATTAAATAGACAGGGTGTTAAAGATCACCTCTTTGGGTCTTAGAATGTTACAGGAGACTCATTCTCGTTAATTAGTATCTATTCAGTTGCAGTAGTTTGTCTTTATAGAATACATATGTAAGAGTATAAAGGTGCTGTAAATAATGCGGGTACACAATTTCTACAGGTGAAGAGCCCTTGGAAGGGCTGGAAGGTCTCCACTCAGACGAAACAGGTTCGGGCGACAACTCCAACGCTGGCTCAAGCGGGGCCGACGACGATGCTGCACGGCTAAGATTGAAACGCAAGCTGCAGAGAAACAGGACTAGCTTCACCAATGAGCAGATAGATAGTTTGGAGAGAGGTGAGCTTTACAGCAAAACATATGAAGCTCAAAAGATAGTGTCAAAATGACTAATTATGTTTTTGATGTCAGGCCGTTCAAACATCGTTTAGTCCTAATGGACAAAAAAAATTGGAAAAAAAACAAAAAAAAACGCCTTCCTAATGCGAAGGCGTTTTTTTTTTTGTTTTTTTTATCTCATCTCATTTCTTTCGACTTATAGCCCCATCGGGTCAATAGAGAGACAAGTTCACCTTCTTAGGATTCCTTAATCCGAACGTTCTCTTGTCTATCAATTTATCCTACTTTACCTATACATCGATCGTTCTTACGATTCTTTTGCGATAACTAAGAGGTAACTAGGAAAAGCCAGCCAACACATGGGTAGTAGAAGAAAATTTTTCCTGCGATGCATAGGAATGTTGGGAGGAAGTACCTGGTTTCAAGATCAAGATCACGATTTTTCATCTAAGAGCACCACCATATAATTATAAATTTTAAATCAACATTAACGCTTTGCGGTACTTACCTCTTTTGCAGTTTTCTGTGTATAAACGCCGTTTACTGATATTGTCTATATTTACCTAAATATACCTACATTCGGCACATTATACAATTCCTAGAAGTAGAAAGTATATTTAAACTCTCACTGTAAAGAATATTTCTTGTTTCAACCCTTCTTGACTTAATGGGACATTTGCCTGCAGAATTCGAGAGAACACATTATCCGGACGTGTTCGCGCGTGAGCGATTGGCTGCCAAGATAGGCCTTCCTGAAGCCAGAATACAGGTGAGCATTATCATCAGCTTCAACGATTTTATAAATATCCAAGTATGGGAAACCTTAGTACCTTTTTATTCTATTGGTATTGAGCTAAATCTTGATTTTTAATCGACTTCAAAAAGGTACAGATTCCGAATTCAGTTGTATTTTTTTATGTTTATTACCTCAAAACCCCATCATTTCTGAAACGATTTTTTATTTGGGAGGGTATATGAACTTCCCGTTTGGTCCCATTATAGAGCCTGTGGAAAATTAAGTAATGAATAATACATTTTATGTATTATTATAAATAACTAGCTGTACCCTGCCAAGCTTCACTGTGACATATATATAAATTTATCAATAGTCATGTAAACCATTGAAGTCGGTAATACCATTAAAGTAATAATTAGTGATGTGAGATAAATATTTGTCGGTTTAGTGGCACTAACGTATATATATATTGTCTACGACCGTCCCCTTCATGTGGCTGGTGGCAGTTCTTTTCCCCCTTGATAAAGGGCCGCTACTGAGCCTGAAACAGTTGACCATATACCATAAATATTTAGAAAATATGTACACAAACCTCGACGTTATCTTGCATTGTACATGGGGCATGCTGAAAGTCTCTGCATCCGGCCACTTACAATAAAATAATGAAAAAACAATTATAGGATTCCAAAATAGAACTCTTTGGAAACATGCGACACAACATTGTGAGACTGTCATTTGTTTTTAATTGTGACGTCCTTTCAAAAAATGTGTATTGCTATCAAAATGAATTTAACTCGTGAACATTTTCGTTCAATGATTTTCGTTGTTTCTTAAGTCAACAAGAGAGTTCCAGAGACTTCAATTGGCATTTGGTGATGAAACACTATGTCGCAGCTCTGTGTATTCGGGGTTTGGAGAATTGAGAAGTGGACGTGATCATTTCCATGACAAGGTACGTGAAGGTCGGCCGGCGACTGCGGTTACAGACTCTAATATTGACACCGCACGACAAGTTATTGAAACTGCCAAAAAATTACTTGCCAGCCAATCGTGCTTTGATACGTATTGCAATGAGCCAAGTGCAAAACATTTTACATGTGCATCTGAAGATTCGGAAGCTTTGCACTCGATGGATACCGCGTGACTTAACGGAGGACCAGAAATTACTGCGTGTCCAGGGGTGCAGTAAAATGATAAAAAAGTTTAACGGAGGAAAGTCATTGGCTGTCTATAATATCGTGACAGGTGACGAAACCTGGGTGTACTTTGAACCCGAATGAAAAAGCCAGTCGGCAGAGTGGGTCATTCCTTTTGAAGAAAGTTAAGAAAAGTCAAAGCATTGGTAGAAAAATGGTTGCTTCTTTTTCGCCAAATCAAGACCTTACACTACAGTATCGCTTGAAGATCAAAGGCCCGGAATTGCAGATTGGGACGTCAACACTTGCTTAAAAAAAGTTCGCAACAAGCGTCCTCTAAGCAATGTCCTCCTTCACCACGATAACGCATCCTCACATTCCGCTAAGGTAACAGAAGCCTATTTGAAGGCTTCAAATATGGAACTGATGAAGCATCTGCCTTACAGTCCGGACCTCGCAAACTTAGAGGCACACGTTTTCCAAACCCTGAATCGGCAGTCAATGCTTTCCATGAAGCCATTGAAGAGGTCCCTAAGGAAGACTGGTCCAACTGTTTTGTAAATGTACAAAGCAGTTGGTTACAGCGAATGCAAAAATTCATTAATTGCGAGGGAATTTACTTAGAAAAAATAAATGTATCGTAAGTCTTATATAGTCTTATTTATGAGAATCCAGAAACTTAACATACTTATGCATTCAAACTATACCACCTTATAACGTGTGGTAATTGCCTGCATATCATGACTGCAACATTACATAACGATAGCACAACTATAAATGTGTGTCTATCAAATTGGTGTGAATTGTAATATTGATTGATTAAGTCTAATCACAGAACTTATGGGACATAATTAGGTTTTAAAAGGTAAAATCGACTTCAATGCATTTTTTTTTCTTTTTTTTATAATTAAATATTTATTTTTTATTAAATAAATCATAATAAATTGTACTTTTCCTCGCTTAATTTTCTACAATTATATGTGGAAAGTTGTTAGAATATTAAATTGAAATTTCCATGAAAAAAGTTTATAAAATAAGTACTCTTTATTACATACCATGATTAGAATACATGTAATGTAGAATTATAAAAAAAAACAATGATACAATGGGCGGCCTTATCGCAGCCTGCGATTTCTTCCAGGCAACCTTTAGATGGACTATACCATATAATAATATGTAGCGTGTGGTGCGCATTTACAATTTCCGTATATTAACTAATATTACATTACATAATTATACATACATATACACGAATACATATTCATACACTTACATACATACCTATATAAATAGGAATACATACATAAACATGAATACACATAATCATATAGCACATAGGTATTAAAAAGATAAATCGTGATCCTTGACGACTTACATATCGCATACCTATACAAAAAAAACAGTGGATAAAAAAAACAGCACTAAAAATCAATACCGTCATTAAACAGTCAATTCGGTCTTCTAAGATCCACTATCTACTCCGATTAGATGAACCGTTTCTGGTAGGTATCATACATATTTGTCTTCAAAGCTTCATTCCCCAAAGTTCTTTGAGATATCTTCATCATCATCAGCCCATAATAGTCCACTGCTGGACATAGGCCTCTCAATAGAAAGGAGGTTTCGGCCTACTAAACCATACTGGCCAGACGGGTTGGTATAGGGTGTGTCACCAGACGAACCTGAACCACTGTGCCGCGGCGCACGATCTTTTCCTGCAAACCATGGCACAGTGGTCGATAGGTGTTGCCGTAGTCGCGGAGCCCTATTCTGTCCCTCCCCGTCCAAACTGGATGGGTGACTGGGACGGCTCCGTGGCAGTCGTCGGTTCCACGACGGCTCATTCCCCGCCCTTGTCGCTAAGAGACAAGGGCACTGGATATGTTGCCGTCGAGTGGGGGGGGATCACCATATATGGTGTCTATTTCTCCCCCAACCGGAGTTTGAACGACTTCGAGGTTTTCCTAACCAGCTTGGAGACCTCGATACTGTGACGTAGGTAAATTATAGACAACTGTTCGGTTCCATAATCGGTTTAATAATGTTCTAAATAAATGTGTGCAGTTACATATAAGGTAAGGCGAGCCGCACACTACACCTCCCCTTTTTATAAAAAAAAATGATTTATCCTATAAATTATTTTTATACACTAAACAATGAGAAAAAAAAATACAAGTTTTACATAACATATTATGTTTAATACAATTTTACTAATTTTATGTAACAAATAACTTAGTATGATTTTTATGAATAACATAATATTTTCCATCTTTTAAAATTTTAACATTTGGTGGTATGTCCTCTAGTACTTTATATGGGCCTAAATATAATTTATCCAACTTATTTCCTACTTGATTTTTAACTAAAACTAAATCTCCATACTTATAGTTACATTTATTCATATTTTTATCGTAGTTTATTTTCCTTAATTCTTTACTTTTTAATAAATTGAACCTAGCTTCGGTTTGTGCTCTCTGAAGTCTATATTTTAGTTCTAATGGGTAAGAATCAGGATTGTATACTGGATCTACGTACATATTTTGTGCTAAATTGGTTGGTAAATTACAATTTTTACCAAAAACCAATTCGAATGGAGAATATTTTGTCTCAGTATGAACAGTGGTATTGAAAGAAAAACACCAAAATGGAAGCCAAGTACTCCAGTCTGTTCTGTTGTTTTCACATTGGATTCTCAGATAAGCTCCTAGAACCCTATGAGTATTCTCTAAGCCTCCCAGAGTTTCGTGGTGATAGGCGGTAGAATGGAGTTTATTTATGTGCAATAACTTACATACCTCAGTAAAAACTGATGACGTAAACTCTGTTCCCTGATCTGTAATTATATCCTTCGGAATACCATATCTTAAAATAAAATTATTTACAAATAACCTAGCTACTGAAACTGTATCCTTCCTTTCTAAGGGATAAGCTTCAACGTATTTAGTTAAATCGCACTGTAACGTTAGAATGTACTTAAAGTTATAATTATCTATATCTAATGGACCCATTATATCTAAACTAACTCTTTCAAATGCTGTGGATACCGTGGATGTGATGACCATCGGCTCCTTAGTGTGCCTGTTGGAGTGCTTTTGAATTTGACAACTTTTACACTTTTTAACGTACTCTATGACGTCATTATTCATTCCTGGCCAATAATAATATTTCCTGATATTATTTAACATCCTATTTACCCCCGCGTGGCCACTCGTGGGCAATAGATGAAAGTCATTTAAAATCACAGTCTTCGTGTCTCTGTCATCAATTCTTATCACGTCGTTAATAACAAGTAACTTAGGAATGTCACCTATAGAAGTAATTTCCTTTAAAACCTTGTTTATAATACTATTATAGCGCTTATTTTTTATTATGACGAGCTCTTTTAACTGTATTCGCTTGCAAAAACGTTGTAATTCTCTCGCTAACACACTTACGGTCGATAACGATCGAGACATTACATAAATTGCTGATTTTTCAGCTACGAATATGCAACTACCATTATCACTAGTTAAACAGTCTAGTTTTTTAATCTGATTTAACGTATCTTTACTACAAAATAAAACTAATTCGACGCTGTCAATTGGTCGTTTGAGAATTTCCACTACCTTAGGCTGATCAGACCTTGGGGCAGAAGATATCTCAGAAGTCGTGTCATTATTGTCACAGTCAGTCTGTAACTTACGAGCTTGAGCTCTTGTCATGACCAATACTGCATGCTTATACATATCTTTTAAACTGGTGGATGTAATAGGCATGGGTATCCGGCTCAATGCATCTGCAGCTGCGTTGTGCCGTCCCGGTATGTAACTTATCTCAAAATCGTACTCTTCAAGATATAGTCTAAATTTAGTAAGTCGGCTTGAAGGATCGGTCATATTAAATAAATAAATTAAAGGT